CAAAAACTCATCCAAACCAGCAAATCTAGCCACATGCAAACATAAAAACACAATGCACAGGCTCCATACAACTCAAAAACAAGTTCAAAATCAACATGCACTCATCCAATGCATCAAAATCATCAAAACTCCAATTTTTCCAAAAACCCCAAAATGAAAAATTTCTCCAATCCAACCATGGATTCTCAACATTCATGCATCGATTGAGTTTCTAAACTCACATGCAACCTAAACAACAAACATTCTAGCTTCCCTCACCTAAAGATTGGTTCAGAATAGCAAAGAACTAAAAAGAAGTGGAATTCCCTTTCGAAGCTCAACCTGGAACTTCAATCCTCTAAAAGCAAGCTTCCTAGCCTAAATTCCAAGAGAAGACAGAAGAGATTAGCGATCTAGAGGAGAAGAAGAATCATACAGAGAAATTAGGGAAAGAAAGGAGCTCACAAACACAGAGTCCTTCTCTCTAAAACTTCTCTCTAAAACCTCTCTCTAAGTTCCCTTTTTCTCTTCTCCTCAACTACATACATATGGCCTATTTATAGAAGTCTGGAGTGGCCAGAACGGCCTGTTTCGAATCTGGAACGGTCCGTTCTACACTCCTTCACCATGTGTAAAATTCACATCTAGAACAGCTCGTTCTCAAACTAGAACGGCCCGTTCTAGGGTTGCATTTAACCCATAACGACCATGTTTGGAATGACCCGTTCTCAAACCAGAAAGGCCTCCCAACTAGGGTTTATAGACCTATTTAGTAGTTTAGAACGGCCCTTCTAGTTTGAGAACGGCCTGTTCTGGACTCCTAAATCACTCTTGTTTTAGTAGTTTGGAACGGCCCGTTCCAATTTGGGAACGGCCCGTTCCAGTCTACTAATTACGTTACAAAAACAATTTAAGGAACAAAACATATAATAATTTAATTAATAAAATTAACGAAATAGTTTTAAAATTCAGTGTTTCAATTTTTACTATATGAGTTTAATTAAAAATTCAAAAAAATAAGAACCTCATTAGTGATGAAAAAAAACAGACTAAATAATAAATACATTATCTTTTAAAACATCAAATTTATAAATAAAAAATCTAATTTTTCTACATAAATTAGAGTATAAAATTTATTAGCGTGACTTTCACTTTTCTCATTCTTGCATGTAATTAGACAATTAGTTGACTATCCATTTGTTTCTCTCTCTTTTCAGTATGGATTAATTTCACTCAAAATTATTGAAATTGAAAGTTTTTTCTCACTCTTCTTGTTTCTACACTACTAGAATTTTTTCTATTACCTAAGGATTTTCCTAGGAATTTTTCATTAAAATTTGTAGGAAATAAGTTTTTTGCGAATTTTTCTACAAATTTATTTTCGCAGCTAATACCTTCGTGGATAATTGTTTCTTGCCAATTTCAAAATTCGCAAAAAAAATTCTTATGATTTTTGCTATAAAAAAAATCTATAGAAAACTATTTTATTTAAATTTAAATTATAAAAATTATAATATAAAAAAGTAGTAAATTAATTATGTTTTCATATCAATTCAATAATTTTATCCTTATATAATGTTATGCATGAGTATGCTATTTTATTTATTTAAAATAATTTAAAAAATAGAATGCAAAAAGTTTAAATTTCTTCTTGTTTTAATAGTACGTAGTACTATTCACATCAACTTTTTTTTTTAATGTAATTTATAATAACCAAATAATTAATAAATTGGAAAATCTCTTTTAACTTTTAAATGCTTTTATTTAAATTTCAAAATTCAATCTTTATATATAATATTTGTATATGTATATGTATTTTTTAATTATCATAACAACATTGATAAAATATGAAAATTACCTACTTTCCCATTCATTATATGGATTAAAGTATTAGTTAAAAATCGAAACGAAATCCTAATTCTTATATATCTCTATCCGGAGCTTTTTTCTTATCCTGGTGCTGCCACATCTCAGTTCTCACAACGTTCGGGACGAAAGATTCTACAAAAATATAGGGAAAAGAACAAACATGTGTACTTATATATTAATCCACTGGTTATAAAATTACAGTAATAGAGTAATTGAGCAGTGTGATTCAAGGACACAAACCTGTATCTGGATGTTTGCTATCTGTCTTGTTCAATGAGGTTTGTCTCCATCGCATCTTTGTGGAAAATGATATTTCATTTAAGAAACTATGTTCTTGTGAGTCATAAAGATGGACAGAGCTGAACCAGAAGACAAAATGTGTCTCAATGCATTGTATAATGGCAATTAAAAACACATCTGTGGATGATCTGAAGTTTAACATAACATAAGGAACTGTAACGTTTACATAGATTTCCACAAAAAGGAAGAAACATCTAAAGGTCAATTTTATTGTTAGCTCCAAATTTCTTTAAAATGAATGATGTGCTTTGTACCAAGATAGGTTACTAGTAAATTAGTGGGAGAGGTATTGCAACAGAGGCAAGGTTCTTTTCTTCCACTCTCAATTCTGATAAAATAAAAAATTGCCTTTCGTAGAGATGCTACCCTATTCTCCTTTGGACGTCCCATGAATAAGTTTTGTTTGGGTTGAAAGAAATGTGAGGAATTAATAAAATAGAATTTTTAACAAATTATTTTGTTTGGATTGCATAAATTACAGTAGAAGAGAATGAAAGATAATTATATATATTTAGGCTTTGTTTGGTTTATAGATGAAAGTAATAACAAATAAATTAGATGAAAAATAAAGAAGAAACGAGTGAAAAGTGAAATAATTATCTTGTTTTGTCCTAAAACAAAATTAATAATGTCAAATTTTGATGATGTTGAATTGGATCTAACTCAAACACTAAATTAAATTATCCAAATTCATTAGATTATTTCAATTGGTTTGGATTTACAAATTATTCATATTAACTTCCACTAGAATATATTAAATACATCGTGTTTTGTGTTTTTTTATATAACAATAAAATTAGAAGTGATCTACATGAGCATTAAATAAATTATTTTTTTGGTATATAAAGACTCATTATTTCCATATAATGTAACAATAAAGTTAGAAATGAATGAGATAATCATGAATAATCGTAGAAACATTAAATACATTTAGATCCGACTCTTTTAAAGTAAGCGATTCCTTTTAAAAAGTAAAATAAGTAATTTCTAATCATTAAAAAATTAATGGTTGATAATATTTACATAATTTCATATACATATCAAATCATTTGTGTTAAAATATAACCTATTTAATTTTTTTTTCATCAATGAGATTAATTATTTTAACACTATTTACTTTAAAAGAGCCAAATTGTAGACATTTCCTATGGATTTTTTTCATTTAGTTAAACTATTGTACGATTCGGGTTTAAATTCGATCAAGAATCATCACGTGGTAAATTAATGGAAATTTAAATTTTTACTATAATTTGCGTCTAACCCTATTTTTATTTATTTTTTATTATAAGAGTATCCCTTGTTGCAAACTATTTTCTTTTAAATAAAAAATAATACAAGGCATATTCTTCTTTTTGAAAGTTTAAATTTTTTAGAGAAAGGGTTAGTATTTCAATTCAAGATTGATAAATCCTCCAAATTTAATGAATATTTACATAAGATTTCTGTTTACCTCACTCTATGAATGTCAAAATAACTCAATCATATAACCTTGTTAATTGTGAAATGCTATCTTGTTCTATTCGATTAATCTCAGAGTTTAATATAAGGCATCCAATAGAATTAGAGGAGGATTTGAATAATGTTTCATCATGTGGGGAGAACTATAAAGTTAAAATGATTATTATTATAAATATTTTGTAAAATGAACATTGTACGTTATTGAAAAAAAATTAATGTAATTTTACTTAAAATTTTAAATATCTATCAACGAAACCTATATTTTTTCGCTACAAAGCTAAACCTATTATACTCTTGGTTATTATTCAATGATAACTTCAAAAATCACATTTATTTTCATTTTGACTAATTACAGAAATGAATTATCTTCAGTGACATTATCACTAACTAGATGAGATCCCGGACCTTTGATAGATTTTATTTATACAATGTTTAATATAGTTATTTCAACAAATTTATTATATACGAACACTGTAAAAATAGTTTATATTGTAAACCCAAAATCTTTTTACTGTAACAAATATTTGATTATAACTAATAAATATAATACTAATATGTATTTTCAGTTCAGGCATCCCCGTAAGTATATTACTTATATGTATATAAGAACATAGGAGGGCGGCTAGCTATTGGCTAGGCACGTTTTATCGTTTTAGGGACATAAGTGGAAAATCAGGTGTCTTCAGCTTGTTTAGAATTTTTTTGGGAAATCAAGTGTGAATTTTTCATTTCATATTAATTAAAAGAAAGTACGTAGCACGATATTACCATACTATCATCTTTCTTAAATATGTGGTAGAAATAATTTAATTTCCAGATTTGTACATGTGAGACAAAATCTGTTAAAATGATGAATTTCCTAAATATATCTTTGATTAGTCTCTGATTCTGATTCTCTCGGAGGAAAATATCTTGAACACAAAAAAAAAAGAAAATACGTAGCAAAATAAAATAATGGAGTAAATGTATTTTAATGTCATGATATTTGCAATTAATTGCAATGTTCCTATTAGCTTCCAAACTACATCATTAATTTAGGCAACGTGTGGCAAAATCGAAATGCTAATATAGGCTACTGAATCACGGTGAGTTTGACAGGTTGTGAGTAGTGTGGTGAAATGGAGAACCCACGCAGGTGAGTGAGTGAGTTGAGTTGTGTGGTTTTTATTTCCGATTATCCCACGTGTGAGTCACAACTTGTGTAGAAAAACAAGAAACGAGAGACGTGGAAGATGGATTTGTTTTATTTATCGCATAGTGCATAGCATAGGATAAGAGAAGAGAAAAAAGAAAAATCTACAGAACAAAAAGTTGTGGCTGCAATTCGTCCATCAATTCATTGTATCTTCCCCACTCAGTTAACTAATCCTATTCACTTCCTCTTCCAACCCATCTCTCTCGGGCTTTTTCGTACAACTAGGTAGTGAGAAAAGAACAAAATACGAATTTGTTGCAAAATAAAATAATTTCACCAAAAATAAGAAACGTATGTGCCAAAACTTAAAAAGTCATCAACCCCATAATCACATTGTGCTTTTACCTATTTATGGCTTAAAATGTCCCGTTTAACAAAGTTAGAACAAGAAAAAAGGCAGGGAAGAATAGATAAGACTAATTAACGTTTTTTGGTTGGTTTCCTTGAAGACTCAGGCGACAGGAAGTAAAGAGACAAGTTATATGAGATGGTTAAAGCTTGTTAGAGAGGGTTTTGTGGTGGGTGAAGTTTGGTAGAGAGAGATGTCAGGTGGTGGATGCAGCATAGTGTGGTTTAGAAGAGATCTGAGGATAGAGGACAACCCTGCACTGAGTGCAGGTGTGAGAGCTGGAGCTGTGGTGGCAGTTTTCATATGGGCACCTGAAGAAGAAGGCCAATACTACCCTGGCAGGGTCTCTAGGTGGTGGCTCAAACACAGTTTGGCACACCTTGATTCCTCTTTGAGGAATCTAGGAACTCCTCTCATCACTAAGAGATCCACTGACACTGTTTCTTCTCTTCTTGAGGTTGTTAAGTCCACTGGGGCTACTCAGCTCTTCTTTAATCATTTATATGGTCAGTTTTCTATTCCCTATTCCCTATCTCAGTGCCTATTTCTGCATGATTTTACTTCTTCTTTTCTGCCTTGCTGTTTTCTTTCCCATTTTTGTTTTCTATAATACCATTCTACTTTTTGTTTTATTTTAACACTTTTCATCCCTGCAATTGACTCCCAATGGCTAGTTTGACTCCCAACAACTAGTTTGACTCTTAATGGTTACTTCAACTCTAATGAGACTAGTTCAACCCATGTTTTTTTTTGTAATCATTTCACATAAATGATGGTGATAGTGAAGTTGTGTCTTTGTCATCCTAATTGTATCCTTCATAAAGGTATCAAACTCCTTCAAAAGTAACTCTCACTCTTTGTTCTAGACTTCAATCTCCTTAATAAATTTAAATTCTACTGATCTTGCCGACGTTTCATTCAGTGACTCTTGCATTGCCTTAATCTCTATGAGGTCAAAATTTGATTCTTTAGATTTCACTTTAGCCTTCCTTTTTTCCATTTTCATTCCCATCAAACGCTCCAAAGTAGATGATGTTGGGTCAAATTCACAATTTGTTGTTTTGTCTAATTGGGATGATGATGTGTACACCCTTAAAGTTGATGTCTTTATTCTTTTTGAAGAACCTCCATTGTACATTACAAACCATTTTGCTTGGTTCCTCAATTCACACCATGCATACTTAAAAGTGAATTTTTTCGTGATCTTGGAAGAAAAATGGTTAAAGCATTGTTGATGATATCATTATTAGCGCTCCCATTTTTCTTCATTCGGATGATGTGTGCATAACACCCATTAAACTTTTGAAATTTATCATTCATCTTTGTCCATCAAGCTTTTAGTGCACCTATTCCCCTCTGTCATTCATTAATACGATTTTTATCTTAATAATTTTTTATCCTTGACCAAAATCCATCTACCTTTTGGTCAACCCCAACAATTAGGTCCTTTAAAACATTCATCCATCCGCTAATGAGTATTTTATCTTCATCCATTATAAACCGTTATTTCAAACTTGCACGACCACTCAAACATATATCCTTTAACATGTTTGAAAGTAACATATTAAGATAATTATGCAATATCAGTTGGATTTAATATGATGTTTTAAATAATAAAAATATCAGTACATAAATTTTATGTCATAATGTTAATAGATTTTTTTAGCAAAATTTAACTATAAAAATTAAAATAATTTTTTTTTAAATTACAAAGATTAAAAAAATCAATTTTAAATTTGAGAGATTAAAAATAAATTTACTTTAAATTTAAATTTTTTAAAATATATTTAAGCCTAAGGTTTATCTTAAATTATATAGAATATATGAACTATTTATTTGTAACTATGGAACATAAGCATGTAAATATTACCAGGGACTCATTGTTATGTAAATATATTTTAGCATCCATCTTCAAACTAGAAAAAAAAAAATATTTTTAGAAAGTACTTTCCATTAGAGAAAAAATATACTAGAAAATATTTTTTGAAAGACAAAAATATAGTTCTAAAAATAATTTTCCAAAAGAAATATTTTTACTCCTTTGCTAAAGTATATTCTAAAAACCAGTGAGACAAATTTTAGAATGACAATAATGGAGACAAATTTTAGAATGACAATAATAAAAAAATGTATTATTTATAATTAATAATTCATCGTAACAGGTCTTACATTTTGAATGACGTCTTTAGAAATTTCTAATCCAACGTATGCAATATTAAACATAAGATAAAAAAAAAAGGTTTCAAGAATATTAAAATTAATAATATAAAAAATAAGATTTAAAAAATAATAAAGATGAATTGATAAGTATCTTAATTACTAGATAGAAAAAAAATTAATATATAAAAATAAAAATAATTTCTAAATATAAAGAAGAGTAAACTATTATCTAAAAATAAAGAAATTGAAATAGTATGAACTTAATTATAAATTTAAACATTGTTGCCACCATCAAAACAAATGAAGAAAGTGTCATGAGAATAACATGGGCCTGCAAGTACCCCTTGTCCCCATAATGAGGCCCATATCAAGTTGGACCTGATTCAAGAATCATGTTTGCTCCTAGGATATTGATATGTACACCTCCTTATTTTTTTTTTTATATTTTTTTATTTTATAAGTACACTCCCTTATTTAAAAAAAATAATTAAATTTTAAAATATTTTAAATTTTTATTTTTAAATTTTTAAATTTTACACTCCTAACATTTAATTTAACATTTTTTTTACATATCTTTTTCCGTTATTTTCACATGCACTCCCTTAATTTTTTTTCATCCCACTTATTTTGATAGATAATTTTAATTTTTTTAGTTTTACATTATTTTTTTCCCTTCCTTTTTCAGTTTTCTCACTGTATTCACTATCCACATAATATTCTAGAATAATAAAAATATTTTTTTCATAACACTAAACTTAATGTTAAGGTTTTTGGAGAGGTGACAGAAAAGGAAGTGTTGGAAGAAAAAATGTGTGTCTAATTTAATAGAAACTGTCGAGAAAGCTACACGTACCTACAATGTTGTCACTTACCAGTTTTATGATTTGGGTACATGTGAAAAAGTGAAAGAAGTGAGAAAATAAGAAAATAATATAAAAATCGAGAGAACTAAAATTATCTATTGAAATGGATGAGAAATTAAAGGAACACAAGATGATACATATGAAAACTGGAAAAGAGAAGGAAGGAGATGTATGAAAAGAAAAAATATTAAATTAAATGTTAGAGATGTAAAATTAAAATTTTTAAAATAAAAAAAATTATTAATATTTTAAAATTAAAAAAAATAAATAAAGAGGTGTACTTAAAAAAAAAAAAAAAGTATATATATCATTAGCCTTGCTCCTATACTGATGTCAGGTTTTGATTTGGGTTCGAGGTTTGCGCTTCACCTTTATAAGCCCTCTTCTTTCCTTTTCAGTCTCACTGTTTTTTTTTAATATTTTTTTTAAGTCTCACTGTTTGATCGACAGGAAAAAAGTTTCATCTTGTTAATTAATGGGAAAAAAAAAAAGTAAACACCAGTGCACCATCATATCTCTCAAAAATTTCACCATTAAGATAGATAGATAAAGATACAAACGCTACACACGATTCCACTAATTGAACCTATCAACATTATTACCAGTTTTTCTTCTCATGTAACCCGTAAAAGGATTAAGCATGAATATATATGCTGGTTTAGGTGCACTATACATATTTCGTCTTTACCTTTTCTATTCAAAGAGGTAATGATGAATTTTTTTTTTATATATAATTTTTGTCTCCCCGGTGTCCCCTTCAAAATAAGTTGGTCTTGTTAATTTTCCTAACAAATTCTCTCTCTAACACACATTTAACTGTAATAATATTCCTAACTATCGTTACTGTGATAGTATATAAAAAATAATTATTATCTCTAAAAAATATTCTAATGATAAAGAATTAGAATAATGTCCTCATTAAGAAAGAATATAAAACTAAAAGAAATGACTAATTAATTAAAATATACTGCCTTATTGTTTAATAATAGTAGTAGGTAGCACTGCATTTATCTATAGAGGAATTGTAACTGGTTATTGATCTTATAATCTATCTTATCTTCCATTTGATCATATTTGCTATATAATATACCTATCTCTTCCATTTTTTATTTGGTGGATGCAAAGGAAAACAAAAGACAACTTGGTGGCAGGCACTGATCGATCGAAAATGATAACAAATAATACTAGTTCTACTAGCTAGCAATAGCATGATAGTGGGGAAAGATGATCGAAATTAGAAGAGAAAGAAGAAATCAATTGAAGTTTCCTATACCACTAATATATCCGACAATCGATCTGTATGCTGTTGAGTGTCACACGTCAGCAGCAACTATAGGCCTATTGAGTAGACTGAGGTACTTGTAAGTACTACACAGATTTGGTTGCTTCCTAACCAATAGTTCTACTAAAGAGTATCTCTAATCAATACAAATTTCTCTTTTATTTTTTAATAGTATTTTACATTTTTCTTTAATGTTACATCATAGTTCTTATTTTAAACAACTCAATTAACTTTTGACTTCAATTAAAAAATTTACTACTTAAAACCTATATATATATATATGTATGTATATATATATATTTTATTATTCATGTTAATTTTAAGTTAATATATTTAAATAACACTTGTTAAATAATAAATAAATATACAATATGTTTTAATTAAATAAAATTTCAAAATTAAAATACATAAAAAATAATGCAAATTAAAATTAACAGTAATAACTTTTAAAATATAAAAAGAAACACAAATAACGTATCACTAAAATGTATAAAATAGAGTTCAATTTTCGTTATTTTTGCACCCAAAACATTTCTAAATATGTTTTACTAAGTTGTGTTGAAGGTGACGATGTATTTTCTTTTAATGCATATGTGCTATTATTTCTAAATATCTTCTAAAAACTTCATGATGTCCATTAAAAGCTTCATGTGTTGAGACATCATTGCTTTGGCCATTGTATGAACAATTAGAATTGACATAATACTATTCTCATTTATCTTCCACAATCATGTTATGTAATATTATGCATGCATCTATTATTTGCTTCAATGTATTCATGCTCCAAAATTGAGTTGACCCACGTATAACTGCAAAACATGATTGAAGCACTCCAAAAGCTTTTTCGACATCTTTTGTTGCTGGTTCTTGACGATGGGCAAACAATTTTCTTTTTTCTCCTAGTGGCTTTGGGATGATTTTCACAAATGTAGCCCATTTTGGATAAATACCCCATGTTGTATGTGGTTTCATTTATTGTAAATTGTACTTCAGGAGCTTTCCCTTATAAAACTTCATTAAAGAAGTTAGATTGGTTAAAGATATTGATGTCATTATTTGAATCAATAACACCAAAGTATGTCTGCCAAATCCACAAGTCATGTGACGCCACTGCTATAACATACTAGTTGGTTTGTCATGATCTCCTATTTGATATTGACCTTTCCATGTTGTAGGACAATTTTTCCATCCCCAATGCTTACAGTCAATGTTACCTATCATACCAGGAAAGTCACATACACCTCCAATTTTTAACAAACGTTCAATATCATTATTATTGGGCCTTCTCAAGTACTTGATCCCAAATATTGCATTCACTCCTTGGACAAACTTTTGTAAGCATTCCATTGTAGTAGTTTCACCAATGCGTACATACTCATCCACACTATTTGTTGGTGATCCATAAGCCAACATCCGAATTGCAGCAATGCATTTTTGCAATGGTCAAAGACTTGTTCTTCTAGTTGCATCATTTCATAATTGAAAATACTCCTCATGGTTGATAACTCCTTCAATAATGTGTAGGAATACATGCCTTCATATGCAGAACCTTCGTTGGAATTGAATATCGTTATATACTGGACTTATGGAGAAGTAATCATTAAATAAACAAAGATGATATTCTTCACGATTTCTTAGAATATGAGTTTTTTTATGAGCACGTTGGTTGGAGCTGCTACCTTCCTCTTCCACACGTTGATTAATTAATTTTTGAATGTTCTTTGGTTGTGCTCCAATGACACTTAACTCATACTCAATAAATTTTTATTCGAGCTCATTATCAAAATGCAAATTATTGTAAGTATTAGATAAAAGAAAGCAAGAAATCTACCACAAACACAATTGTAGAAAATAGGAATTAGGGAAACAAAGTGGTGTGATGCAAAGTGGCAACAATACAACAATATATAAGGCTCAATAACTAATGTTATCTAACAACTACTTTGACTCCCAATGGCTAGTTTGACTCCCAACAACTAGTTTGACTCTTAATGGTTACTTCAACTCTAATGAGACTAGTTCAACCCATGTTTTTTTTTGTAATCATTTCACATAAATGATGGTGATAGTGAAGTTGTGTCTTTGTCATCCTAATTGTATTTTCTAGAACCTCTCCAATTAAGGAGGGATCCTAACACAATTAGCTAGGATGCCCAGATTTTGGATTTTAGGATCCTAAGTTATATCAAATTCGGGTGGCAATGTACGGAATTGATTTGCTTACCCCACTTACATGGTTGTCTGTGATTGCTCCTCCGTACAAATTGCTTTGTCATTTCTAGTCATCTTTTGGTGCTTGCTTCATGACAGTCTCAAAAATACAGTTAAATGGTCTATTTCTACTTCATTGAGTTCTTGTTTGTGAAATGTTACTTGTGATTTGCTGCGTTGCAGATCCCCTGTCACTTATCAGGGATCACCGAGCAAAAGAGGTTCTGAATGCTCAGGGTGTAACAGTACGTTCCTTCAATGCGGATTTACTATATGAACCATGGGATGTGAATGATGCACATGGACGACCGTTCACAACTTTTGCTGCTTTTTGGGAAAGATATCTTAGCATGCCTTATGACCCCGAGTCACCTCTTCTCCCACCTAAAAGGATAATACCAGGTATACTTTTGTTCACCTCTCTCCTTCGCCTAATGTAGAATAGTTGCCAATTGCATAATGTTGAATCTGTGCTCCTTGTTCATTACTGAAATTTATCTAAATTGGAGAAGAAACAATGTGCTATTTAACATAGCAAAAAGGTGTAAAGAACGTGAAGTATTTAATTGTATGGTTTTATCTGTTCGGTGTAGACGTGAAAAGTATCATGTAGTTAAAATTTCACCCCATTGCTCTTGGTAAAATCATCCTATTTGTCTCTTTGTAATAACAAATTTAGTGGAGCAAAGGAGATTTTTTCTCAAATTCATTACATTACAAGTTTAATGTACTGTTTTCTCGTCTAATGTCTCCATATGGTTTCTAGTTTCCCCTTATATTTGTCCTTTATAAGACTATCTCCTTTGTATAAGTTTTTAGGATTCACTTGCTATAATTCAAAGCAATTTGGTCCTATGTTGTTGATGTTCTTATGTGATCTACTGCCCTCACCTTGTCTAGGAATTCTAGATTTTCTCGTAAAGCATTTGTGTTTATGCCTTAATCAAAATTAGCAGTTCTCCAGAAAGGTTCTCTTATTTAATTTCAGGTGATGTATCGAGGTGCCCAAGTGATACATTGGTGTTTGAAAATGAAGCGGAGAAGGCAAGCAATGCACTTCTAGCTCGAGCATGGTCACCTGGGTGGAGCAATGCAAACAAGGCATTAACCGCATTCATAAATGGTCCACTGATCGAGTACTCAAAAAATCGCAGGAAAGCTGACAGCGCCACTACCTCACTCCTCTCACCCCATTTACATTTTGGCGAGTTGAGTGTGAAGAAGGTCTTCCATCTTGTCCGCATCAAACAAGTCTTATGGGCCAACGAAGGGAACATAGCGGGTGAAGAAAGCGTGAACTTGTTCCTCAAATCTGTAGGTCTTAGAGAGTATTCAAGGTACATTAGTTTCAACCACCCCTACAGTCATGAAAGGCCTCTTCTAGGCCACCTTAAGTTCTTTCCTTGGGTTGTGAATGAAGGCTATTTTAAGGCATGGAGACAAGGCAGAACTGGGTACCCTTTGGTGGATGCTGGGATGAGGGAGTTGTGGGCCACTGGTTGGCTGCATGATCGGATACGTGTTGTGGTTTCTAGTTTCTTTGTGAAGGTTCTGCAGCTTCCTTGGAGATGGGGAATGAAGTACTTCTGGGATACCCTTTTGGATGCAGATCTTGAGAGTGATGCACTTGGTTGGCAGTACATATCTGGTACTCTACCTGATGGTCGTGAATTTGACCGAATAGATAATCCACAGGTGCTGTTACTTTTCTCTAAAACCTACTTTGGATTTATGATCATCCTTTTGCATGTGCCCTGTCTTCTTATACTAGTGTCTTTGGTGCTAGAAAACCATGGTAGGTACAAAATCATGGTGAGTTCACCGCAAAAGTAACTATTTCTTGCTTCCAGAAATCATGGTGCGAATTTGTTTTGATATATGATCAAACATAAGTTCATAATTTCACAAGATTTACGAGGGTCTTTTTCTTGCAAATTTAATTTTGTATAGATTGATTCCTGCCTTTGTTCCTCGTTTGTGGTTATTAACATTGGTATTGACATTTTGAGTTATATCCTACTGTCAGCGATTTGAATGCCGAAAATTGATAGATTTTCTTGTGAAAAATACACTCATTTTAGTTGTTGGATTTTGTAGTTTGAGGGCTACAAATTTGACCCCCATGGAGAATATGTACGACGCTGGCTTCCAGAACTTGCAAGATTGCCTACTGAGTGGATACATCATCCTTGGAATGCACCAGAATCAGTGCTACAAGCTGCTGGAATTGAGCTAGGATCGAATTATCCTCTTCCAATTGTGGGAATAGATGCAGCAAAAACCAGACTACAAGAGGCACTATCAGAAATGTGGCAACTAGAAGTAGCTTCAAGAGCTGCAATGGAAAATGGGACTGAGGAAGGACTTGGAGACTCTTCTGAATCAGTTCCTGCTGCTTTTCCTCAAGACATGCAAATGGAGGAAACTCATGAACCGGTTAGGCACAATCCCCTTCCGGTTGCTCGGCGCTACCAGGATCAGATGGTTCCAAGCATCACTTCTTCCTTTGTGAGAGTGGAAGAGGAAGAAACTACATCTGATCTTCGAATCTCGGCAGAAGAGAGCAGCAGGGCTGAAGTGCCAGTAAATGTAAACACACAACAAAATGCAGGAGTTACGTTGAACGAACGGATGTTGCAGACTGCTCATAGGAATACACAAATACAATACAATACTACAATGGAGCTGATAAATGTAGCTGAAGATTCAGCAGTTGAATCTTCAAGTGGTACCAGGAGAGAAAGGGATGGAGGTTTAGTTCCAGTATGGTCTCCCCCAGCTTCCAGTTATTCAGAACAATTTGTTGGAGATGAAAATGGTATTACTAGCAGTTCATCTTACTTGCAAAGGCACCCTCAGTCTCACCAATTGCTGAATTGGAGACAGCTACCTCAAACCGGGTAAGATTTCCCAAACCAATGAAAGCATTAATTTCTTATATACACAATTAATGATACACGTACAACAAAATTTTACAACAACCATTACAATATTACTTTTTGTGTCTGTCTCTTTCCATCATTAATAAATACAATAAAATAAGTGATATACACAAAGAATGAGATTATATAAATTGTTATACAATGTACATGTATCATTACTCTATGAGTACTGCTGTTCTTAACATTTGAGGAACATCAAAGGATTTGTGAATGTTTTTCTGGAAGTTTATGTTCTATATTTAATTTAATGAGTATGATCCTTTTTTGTTGACTCCTTGTTATCTCATGACAGTTAAATTTGAATCACAGGTAATTCATATCTAAGCAATTAGACTAGAAGCAGGGAATTGGAAAATACAGTATGACCTTTATGTTGAGAGAAAGTGGGATGTTAAAGCCGCATTGGACATACATGTGTTAATTTCCTACTCCTTTTACCACCGGCTAACCTCCGATGTGTATGGAAATTTCAGTTCATCCGCAGTCCCTTATGCTTTCTTGTACAATGTTTGCAACTTGCTGTATAGTATACTTTGCGTAGTGAGGGAGAAAGAGCCACCATAGGATCTTTGGTCTAATAATAAACTCATATTTGTGCTTAGCATATATATTAAATAATAAATATGATCCTAGCTTTATTTACATTTTCAGATTTTCTGTACTCTACATCTCTGTTGACCACTATAAAGTGCACCTCATCTGGTTGCTTGCATCTATGAAACTTCTACACTGCTTGTTTTAGAAACATAGGAAACATACTTCTAATTAAATTTCCCAACAGCGTTGTTCATTGATTAATCATGGACGTTTATCTTTTGATGGGTCACAAGGTAAATCATAGTGCAGTCTTCGTTGTCTTGTGAATATCTAAATTGCATATAAAGCGCAAGTATAATGATCACTCTGAAATTGCTCCTAGTCCTTCATATAAGCTTCGTTCTTTCCGTTTGCTGTGTGGAAAGTGCTATAATGAAAATCCGAATAACCAGCCATGATGTTCATTGCAGGCTACAATTATATTTTTCAATCAGTGAAGGTACCATTATATTTTTTATTTTTCACTCAATATTCTCTTTTATCTTCTTTGAAGGTGCATTTAATATATTATTATTGATTTCCACAACTAACCAAAAATGTTTTAACTAATTTAGATTATCCTTCTTTTATTTTTATTTATATATTTAATTTCCTTAACTATTATTTTTTAATTTATCCTCTTTTATCTCTGTAACTAAGGGGGGTGTATTGGATTAAGATTTTAAAGAATTTTTTTAGTTTAAAAAAAATGCTAAGGATTTTAAAAGACTTTATAGGATTTTCATGACTTTTAAGACTTTGTAAGATTTTGCAAGACCTTAAATCAAGATTTTAATGGATTATGCAAGAATTTTAAATCAGGATTCTAATGGATTTTACGGGACTTTGTGGATTTTGTAGAATTTTCGTAGATTTTTGACATATGATAAGATTTCAAAAAAAAATTCATACATTGAAATTTAAAGAGTCAAAGACAAAAATAATAAAAAAAAATGTCTAGATACATAATAATAATACTAATTCTCTATAATATCATATCCTCTTAAATAACGTTTATCCACATATCCATAGTTATACTAGTCTTCTAAGCATTAACGTTTTCTCGCTCTTGCTCATGAGTTTGAATAATAAGCTCAAAAGTATAATCTTCATTAACCGTAATGTTGAAGATGAAGGATCAAATACCTTGGCCAATATAAAAATCATGTAAAAATGGAAATATATAAATATAAGATAATTTTTTATATAAAAAAATCAGTATATGTGATACTGAGAAAATATTTAGATAAATAAATTTTTTTTATATAAACGGAAGTATTTAGATACAGAAAAAATATTTATATATATATATATATATATATATATTAGTATTTTAGTTATATATTATATGATAATTTTTTAACAATATTTATAAATGTGAATTATTCTAACAAATATTTTAACAATATTTTCTTTTTTAAAATAAGTTAATGGAGGCATAAACCCTAAACCCTAGAAAATTAGATACTGCAATGTCTTATGTTAATTTCTTCTTTCTTTAAATATAAAAAAAAATCATAATTTCATAATATAAAAATTAAAAAAATTCATAGTAAAAAAAATAACATAATTGTTAAGTTATAAAATGATGAGGAATAAGAGTAACAAACTCAAGGGAATGAGAGAGATCGCAGTTTTTATGCTGAGAGGGTTTTTCCTCCAGCTATATATATATATATATGTATTGTAGAGATCATGATATCAATTTCATCTTTTACCTTTCCCTTTTCTTGACGTGTGTTATAAAAAAATATCACTTAAAAATTAAAATTTCAAGCGTTTTTTTGTGTTATATAAAAAAAATTCAACTAAATAGAATAAAATAGAGCAAGTCAATTAAAGAGAACGAAGAGAAAAATAGAGCAAGTCAATGACACTGTCATTTACATATCGAAGTTTCACAAAATAAGAGAATGGAATGAGCATGTCATTTACATATCGGAGTTACCCAAAATAGGGGAATGGAATGAGAACAGTATTACAATATTATATATGAGCAATGAACAATAGTGCAATATTATTAGCAAAGAAAAAATAGAGAAGTCAGAAACATAGAAAAAAAAATGAAAAATTCACTTGAAAATTCTTGAAGCACTTGAAAAGTCACTTTAAACAATCTTCCAAAATCTTATGGGTTTGGATGAGATTGTTTTATGAATTTAGTATTTATAGATAATACTATAAAGTCCTTCAAAATCTCTCTAACATAACAATCCTTTAAAATCTTTATATTTTTGAATATCAATGGATTGTTTTTAAGTTGTAAAAAATTTCAAATGAATACCAATGGATTTTAATAGACTCTTTAAAATATCTTAAAAATCCAGATTGAATACCACTAGATTATTTTTAAGTGACATAAGATCTTGATTGAATACAAACAGACTTTTTTACTCAAAAAAAGTCTTTTCAAATCTTATGAAATCCCAAACCAAAATACACCCCCTAAATTAAATTTCAATAGATTTTCTTTTTAAAACAAGATATTAATAGTTAAAAATACCATTACATTACAATTTATTTTTTATGCAATATATGTTTATATTTTTAAATAATTATATTATTTTTCTTAAGACCCGTAAAATCTCATTATTGACATAGATTGATATATACAGGCACAAAAAATGATCAATACTCCACGATTTTAGTGGACAATTAGTGATTCTTGATGCCAAGAGAATGAGAATCATGGGATTATGAAGCTAGAAATTCGGGCATAAAGCCTATCATTACTCATGACTGATGAATCGTCCATTTATTTAGAATAAACAATAAAATATATTTGATAAATATAATAAATAATATTACAATATTTAAAAGAAATTATTTATTCATATATTTACACAATATTGCTATAATAACATTAAATATTATTTTAGTGTTTACGTCTTTTGATTTAATATGTATTTTAAGTATATATTGATTGTTATATAAAGTAATATATGTGATAAATATATTATATATGATATTAATTAAGTTTAATAAATATATTTTTTCAGTATTATCAAAGCTAATTATATATAATATTTAATAAATAAATAATGATTATATATTGAAAAAACCACTTTACTTTGTATATATATATATATATATATACACTATATTATAATTAATAAATGCAATAAAAAGTAATATGTTTACAAACTTTTATTAATAAAAATAAATATTATATTAATTATTTTGCCTTTTTGTATTTTACTTAAAATAGTACGTTTTCAATATATATATAGATTGGAATAAAAGTAACATATTTGATA